TTTTATTACTACCATTTTTAACTAAAATTCGTTTTTTTATTGTGTTAACACTGGTAACACTGCAAGACGAAAAAATGTTAATATTTTTCATAATTGTGAATGAATTCACTAAAATTTTACAGGAATTTATCTTTATTTTTATTTATACAATTACAGAATAATAAAAGAGAAGGAACTAACTAGCTTTATGAAAGATGTGTTATCTTTAACAGTATTTATACAGATTTATAAAACCAGATTCACAATTCCTAATCGTACCATTTGTACCGTAGCATAAACTCCAAAAATTTCCCTACTTCCTTGCTAGATATTGCGATAATCAGTTAATCACCACACGCATGTCAAATAATTGACAGTGCTCTAGAATTAGAACAGCGTGAGAAGAATTCAACAGTTGCAAGAACAATAGCTCACAAGATTAATTGTGTAACTAGCATGCAAGAAAACGAATCAATTGCAAGTATTTGAAGAGATTCTCAAAGATTCAAGATTTTAAACTGAAATTAATTTTAAGTGAAAGTTGTAATGTGTCTATTACAATTTTAATTAAATCCTCGCGGCTACAAAAATTTACATTATTGCAACAACTCCAAGAATTCTAAAACCGGAGTTTTCTCGACGAAATTAAGACGATCGTAATCCCCAATCATACTTATTGTACAGCTTAAATGTTGAGTCATTAACGAATTAATTATAGCTCGGTTTTAATCTATTTTTACTATCTTGTGAGAGTGCGAAGCGAAGACTGCTCCGACACTTCTTATCTCAAAAACAATGGGACAAAAATTCGACCGGAAACAATTTTAATGAACCCTCAGCGGACCGTTGATTTAATTAAACTAACTGCATCGCACTCGTGTAATTATTCATAAGAAAATGTATCTGTTTCACAATCGAGATAAGTAAACCCAGTTTATAAACTTCTGCTTGAACCAAATACCCACTTTGTTGTAATTATTATGATAGATTGCCGCGAAACAACTAACGGTGTTGGGGCCATTTACTGAATTATCTAAAGCTAAAGAATCGCCAAAAGCCCTCCGATCAGCTAACTGTTGTGCAGGTGAGATGTCACAAAAAAATTCGGTTTTTTCAAAAGTTAACTCGTTATAGCAGTCATAAAATTCCAGTCCGCCCATAAATGTTGATGAGCAAAAGCGCCTACTGGTGCGTCATTAGATGCTATAAATTATTATTATTTTAGACGTTCGATAGAATTATTAATCTGTTGCTTTATGTCAAAACCGGACTTGCATGGTGCTGGAATCTAGTTGACATTTTGTAATAACAGACGAATGTTGATTGCATTGTTTTTACCTATAAATTATGTTATGATACTTTTGTTTCCTAGTACAAATTTTGTCGCCGTTAAAAATTAATTTTTAGTAAAAAAATTATTACAGCTATAGAATATGTAATTATACTCGCAGAAAATTGTTAATAAAGACAGCTCTCAACTAGATTATAATCGTTCGTCAAACTGCTAACATCTTTTATTAGCCAATCACAATTTTATTCTTAAGTTTTTTATTAGTGAGATTAATTTACGACTAGACTTATTTTCTACGACAAACTAGACTATAAATTTTACGAGCTCAATAATATCAGCACGTGCTTTTATACCGAACACCACTATGTCAATAATCACGTGATCATCAGTTTCCCTTTCAAATCAAAATGCTGATATTCGGAAACTTCTCTTATCTTTCTTAGCTGCTACGAGCGTTTTTCAACAAACTTCAAATGAAAACTGAAATATCCGCATTTGAATTCGAATTTAGCGCCACTTCCTGGGGTGGAAGTAGATGTCACCCTAGCGGTAGAAAAAGGAAGGAAGCGGGGGTGAAACGAACCAACGCGCTCTTGCAAAAAAAACAAGTGACCGAATCCAGACGTGCCGTGTCTCTCCCATTTGTTTTTGAAAGTTTCCTTTTGTTTGTTTGAATGTTTTGTTGTTGTTTTAACTTAAAATCAAAGCTCCTGTAAAACCCCTCCGTTTTGTCAAACAATTAAAACACCGATTACATGGAAAAACACCTGGTGTGACGATCAGCTTTCCACGAGTGTGAACCGCGTTTTTGGGAAAGTCGTGCTATTTCCTAATTTCCCAGGACATTAGCCTGTTGGGGAA